GCAACCCGCTCTGGTGGGAGGTGTCCCTGTCTGTGTCAGAGGGTTGGAACTAGATGATCTCGAAGGTCCATTCCAACCCCTATAATTCTGTGATTTAGGTTGAAAAATCCTCCAAGATCATCTCCTCCAACTTGTGACTTAACATGTCAACTGGACCATGGCACGAAGTGCCACATCCAGTCTTTCCTGAAACACCTCCAGAGGTGGTTGCTCGACCGCCTCCCTGAGCACCCTTTCTGTTAAGAAATTCTTCCTAGTGTCCAGTCTGATGTCACCTGTGGACATTGTGGCACCTGTGTGCTCTCCTGTAAAATACATGGAGTTCCCCACAGCCGACTCCAGGCACCTCACTCTGAGTGAGGTGAGTGGAGTTATGCTTTTCTTCAGTAATTCCTTGTTTTCTTTTCCCATATTCCACTGGAATTAAAATTAGCTGGTTTAGCTACCCACAAAAGCAGTATGAAGAAAGGTATTTCCAAATATTACAGAAGCTTCAAGGGGAAATGTGTCTTCTCTTCGCAGGTTTTCCTAGAATGACAAAGTTTAGGAAGGTAGCAGCTGTAGCTGGTGCATGTGTTTTGTTTCTCCAAATTTATGAACCCACTAAGCTTTGTCAGCATAATGTGTCAAAGACGTAATGATAGTTAATCATTAATCATGTAAAAGTTGGAGTTAGTTGCTGTGAAACTTTCAATTATTGTATTTATTTACTTTTAACAAAAAATACCCAGCTCAAAACAACACATCAGGTAACAAGGAATAGAATGTTTAAGTGACTAAGATCAATTCAAGAGAGCAAAAAACCCAGCACCTACACCATATTATTTGCTCTGTGGGCAGAACCATCTGTTTTGCCTTGTCCTGGGGTTTTTTTGTTTGTTTGTTTGTAGTGGCTGTAGAGTCCTAAACACACTGTCCTGCAGAAACACACTGTTTCTGGGTTGTTTGTTTGTTTGTAGTCGCTGTAGAGTCCTAACCACACTGTCCTGCAGAAACACACTGTTTGAATACATAGAGGCGTTATTGTATGTCAATACACCTGCAAAACTGAGGGGAAAAGGAGAGTGGAGTTTCCTGAAGTTTAGAGACTAAAACAGATTTCTGAATGAAAATGTCTACATCGGAGCTTGGGTTTTGACTGAAGTTTGTTTGTTTGTAGTCGCTGTAGAGTCCTAACCACACTGTCCTGCAGAAACACACTGTTTGAATACATAGAGGCGTTATTGTATGTCAATACACCTGCAAAACTGAGGGGAAAAGGAGAGTGGAGTTTCCTGAAGTTTAGAGACTAAAACAGATTTCTGAATGAAAATGTCTACATCGGAGCTTGGGTTTTGACTGAAACCAGGAGATGAGCTGTAAAAGGGGACAGGGGAAAAATCTTTACAGGGAAAGACATACATAGTTTGAATTAATCAAAAAGAGTGAAACCGACATACAGCACACTGCAAAGCTTTTTGTTTGTAAGTAAGCTATGCATTTACTTAACTATTATGGAAAGGTTTGATGCTTTACATGAGAGATTGAAAAGAAACTTCATGTTTTTATCAGTTCAGGAAATCATTTCTGTAGTGCTAGAGGGCTTACATTTCAATGGTCATACTCTCTGCAGATACTGAGATCTTAAATCATGGAGTATTTGGGTAGCATGTCACATAATGATGGATTTGTCTGAAAAATAAGTCAACCTAGAGTTAATTGCTCATGTTTGGGGTTTTTTTGGTAGGCCTTTTCTGTTGTTTCGAAGCTGCTGTCTCAGCGTAAACTTGACCTGCTGGATGAACTTGTGTCAAAAGAGGTAAATGCTTTCCTTCTCCTGTTGGAGCAATTTATTTTCCACTATGAATTAACATGCATTTGGCCTGGCATTGTCTACAGGTACTGCCAGTTTGGTGTCATTTGAGAAAAACAGCGTAATTTAGAACAGGGCAGGTGTTCCTCCTGCAGCTTCTGAGTTTAATTGCAAGGCATGAAACTTAATTTAAAGTTACTGAATTTAAAACAAAATATATTTTTTTTACTTTGAGCATGAGGACCAAATGCAAAAGAGATTGCTGGTGCCTGAGGAAGGATTGAAAGGCAGTGGGTTCTGGACGGCAGGTGGAATTGCTTGTCTCTGGGTGTAGGCAGGTAGCTGAAGCTGATTCAATCTGTGCACCAGAATTCAAATGAGGAAAGGAACTGGTTTGTACTCATCTCTGCTGCACTGATAGGTTCCCACCCCCAAGCAGATCATACAGCTGATTACTGCTTTTGGCTGGAAGGCCGCAGTCTTATGTCATGGTCTCAGGGATATGGCTAATCTGGTTAGTTATACATCAGTGCTGTGTTTTCTGTGTTTTTATGGATTTTTAATTGCTTGAAGTTGTCTTGGCCTTCCCAGGGCATGGAGGGATGCATCAGAGTCAAGTGGAGGAGATACTCCAGGTCTATGTCTGCATTATTACAGGATGTCAGCGTGGCCTATCCTATTGCCACCCATGCCTTTGCAGCAAAGACTGGTGCTGTTCTAGTGCATCCCCTCTGAACAATCTTGCCTCTTCTCTCTGAACAGATAGCAATAAAATGTGAGTTTGTTTCTTGCAAATGTTTTGAAAGAGCATCTCCTCTGCTTCCTCTCAAAAGAACTTTCTCTGCTCATCTTAAATTTTTCAGGTTTAAATTGATCTGGAGACGTCATGTAACCTGAGGATGTAGTAGATGAGGCGGTGATACCACACTGCTTTGTTTTTCTCTTTAGCCAGTGAATTTTGTACCTGCAAAATGTACTGGAAACCACTGTCTTCTAATGAAGATTAGCTCTTGCATCCGTGTAACCTCTGGATTTGTTTGTTATTAAAAAATCGCTAACCAAGTTAGGGTAAAAAACTGTGTCTTAGTTAAAAATAAGTGCTGCACAGCTTCATCTTCCTTGTGACTTTTTCATTTGCTGTTTGAGGCGATGCCTCTGGTCAGTTTGTGCACTACACTGTTTTCCTACCTAACATAGCTGTGTAGGTCTTAGGACACTGGGATACTATGGATGCAAATGCAGTATGGAACTTAATTCCCAGAGCAATGATTTTTCAGTCTTTACTGATTTGTAAGAGTTTAAACGTTTTCTAAAGGATGTGGATCAGAGAATGGAAAAGATAAACTTAGTGGTAATGAAACTGATTTTTGAAGAAATTTGTGAACGATAACTAAAATAATTGAATCAAAAGCTAAGGAACGTACACACAGTGAGAAGGCAGAGGGTGCAATTGTGGAAGCTAAACTGGTGTTTGCTGGGCTTATGTGCCTTGCATTGCAGCTGCTGCTTTTCTAAACATTTTTTAAGATACTTGGGTTTCATTGATTTGAGCTGTAAATGTCCTTCTTCAACATTGCTGAATTAGGTTTTAGGAGTGCCTAAACTTCCCAGTGCTAAATTTCCACTGTTGTGTGTGTTGGACAAATGTTTTAGCTTATTTTATGTGCTGTAGTAGAAAAAGATTGTTACTTCAATTTCCTAATGAAAAACTAAGTGACAGTTTTTCTGAATTTAGGTGCTTCAGGTGCTGAAGGAAAAGATTTCTTTGCTCCCTGACAGCCACAGGGATGCTTTAGCAGCTGACATTGATGCAATCATGTACACAACAGAAGGAGATGTTCGCATTTACTATGATGATGATGGTATGTTTAGAATCCTAAAACGTTTCAGCAGTGAGCAGTCTTACTTCCTGGTCTTGCTGCTAAGCTAATGCTAACACATTTTCCTTACAGATGTGTTTTTGAGTACTATTTCTCATTCCTTGCTTTCTGTTTGTACTTTGTCATATAATTTCTTGATTTCCTTTTAAACCAGAAACAGAGATTACTGTTAACATGTCATGGTACTTTTTTGACTTCTTTTTAGGTTTTGCTTATTTTTCTTTTGTACAGATTTTTATATTATTAGTCCTCAGCAATCTGAAAACACTCAAAACCACTACTATATACTATATGCTTCAACAATGAAAATACATTATCCAAGAAGAGTAGTGAAGGCTGGATAATGAAATACATTTTGCTGTTCTAGTCTTTTTAATGGAATCTACTTTATTCTAGGAGTCCTTAGTTGTTTTATTTAAGCTAGAGGTGAGTTCAAGTAAGTTTTTATTTTGGTTGGATACCAGCCTTATGTGCTCCATTCACTGTCAGGTACAGCTGAGATGATCTGTAGTCTAACCATGGGTCTTCCATTGAGTGTTTTAAGTTGTCAGACCCAGTGAGCTTTTTTCCCCCGATTTGAGAGAAAGGGATGTTTTTGTACTCTTAGATTGCTCCTGAGTTTGAGCTACTCTATGTATTTTTGTCATATCAGTTAGGTTTAGACCTTATGGGAACCAGCTTTTTTTCATATTTTTTTATTATATATAAATACCATGCCACACTCATGATAAAATACATACCTTTCTGCAGAGTGTGAATTTATTGTTGCTAAACAACATGAATATGGTTTTAAATAGCTGTACCATTTGTGATATCCTATATTTTTTACAGCTGATGTCAGCTGTCATTCCAGGGTCTCATTAGAATATATACTAGGCAGCAAATAGGAGTATCTGACCAATGAGAAACACGAGATCTAGCTTACACTTTGTTTTATTTCCAACAGGAAGAAAGTTTGTTAGCATCCTGATGTGTTTCTGGTACCTGAATGGTGCTAGCCTACCTGATGAAGTACCTGGTGGAACCAAAATTTTCCAGATGGTGTTTGGAGATGAAAGCACAAAAGAAAAAAAACATCTTTTAACAGCAAACTATGAGTAAGTTTGTTTGTACCTTATTTTTTCCCCCCTTGTACATGTGCTAGCTGTGTGGTAAGCAGCTGGGGAACTATAAGCATTCAGAGTGTGCCAGTGCAGAACGTGGTGTGTCTTAACTTACCTTGATTCTAATCGAAGTTCATTCTTATCCAGCATTCCAGGTTTGATTTTAGGGCCAAATTTTTTAAATGCCCCTGAAATCGTTATGTTACTACCTTGCTTCTGAGTTGACATAATGGGAACTCTTTCTCTGTCAGGAAGCATTGAATAAGGTTTCTGATCCTTTCCTATACTGTTCTGCAGCTTTGAGGCAGTAGGTCAGTTATTATTTTTGCATTTCTTGTAGCACAGCTAACAGCAATGCAGTCAAGCCAAGTAGTTAAGTGTAGTGCTGTTGACTTGTCCCTTCCCACAAAAATCAGAACTGCAATTTGCTGAAAAAGTAGCTCATGAAAGAGGAGATTATTTAGCCAAACGCTTTTTGCAGAAGGTCAGAACAAAGCAAGCATCACCTGGTGTTCAGACAATTCATGCTGCTGATCCCAGCCCTCAAAGCACACATTGGATAGATGGATTTTCATAAGAGTATTTGTAAGTAATGTCTTTGTTAGCATACTGATGTCAAAGCAGTGCAGAAGAGAGCTGCACAGTTAGAAAAATGTGCTGAAAATAAAATTCTCAGAAGTTGAGAAAAGTGAGGATTTTTGTATGAGAAATACAATATTGATCAATGATTTCTACACCCACATTTGAAATGGAAAGTATGGGCTCAAGTTGATGAGGAGCTCTGAAACAAAGGTAACACTTGTGAGGACACCAGTGCTTTTTTCCTGGATGTTTTTTTTTGTGGATCTAACCCTTAGCTGAATTCAGTATCTTCCTTAGAGTTGGAGGCCTCTAAGGTTCCATTAACCTTAAGAGCCTTCCCTTAAAGCCTGAAATATTTTCCCAATCCTCAGGAGAGAGACCTTTGCAAGTATGTGTTCCTTAAGCTAAACAGGAATGGGCAAAGACACTACAGGCCTTGGGAGCCCAGTGTTAAGTATTTGCATGTCTGAAGAAGACAGTTTCCAGGAGTGGATATGTATGTAATTGCAAAGCAATGATGTTGTCTTATTCTTGTCCACGATATGCAGGTTACTTGGGAATATGAATATTCAGCTTGAAGCTCAGAATTACCTTTAGATGACAAGCAGTCGAAACTGACATGCTCAGAGAGAAAGGCATTAATGACTACAGTAGGAAGGCTACTCTTTAAAAATAGGGGTGGATGTTTCGTTCTCCTATTGACAGTTGTGGAGTTTTCTTTCAGGGAGATTCAGGGCTACTGTGAACTTGATAGTTGGTGTAATTATGAAAATATATTACTTTTTAAAGTATAGTTCAGTAAAAGTGATAATTTTGAAGTAGAATGTGTTTGCACATGATTTCCCTTCACAATGCAGTTACCATCCCTTCGAATGAAAGCCTCTATTTACAGATGAAGATCAGCCACAAGGCTTTATTTATAGTTACTGCTGTGAAAACTCAGTGGTTTCTTGATACCAGGGGCTTTACTGTTGCTGCTTGATCCTGTCTCTGGCATCTGAACCAAAACACAGTGAAGTCAGTGCATTTTGTTTCTTACTATAGAAATAATTTTAATCTTCTGTTTTGGGGCATAAGCACTCTAGAGTCTAAGAAGCTTTTACAGAAATAACTTTGAAGTAAAATACATCTGCATGATCTCTTGTTGTATTAATAGCTCTTTAAGATCAAGTAAATTTTAACAACTCTTCACTTCCTGTCTTTCCTTTTCTAGGTTCCAGAGGGAATTTACAGAAGGAGCAAAACCAGACTGGACAATTACACGGATTGAACATCCAAGACTATTAGAATAAATGCCTTCTACAGCCTTTTTATGTACCATCATAAATGTTCTGATGTAACAATTATCAGGATTTTGGGTCTCTCTTTTTCCCTTCCTGCCCTTTTCTCCAAAAGAGAGATGAATTTTGTATGTTTGATTTCCAAAAATTGTTTCTGAAATTTGCACTGTGCTGCAGAATTACAATAAAGTCTTTTTTCCCCTGAAACAGGCTAGTACAAAGTTAATTGGTTCCAGTGCTCATCCAAGGCATTTAGACAGTGCAGTTTCACTCAGGCAGGTGTTATGGGTATGTTGACTGCTTACATTCTAAGAAGAAATGGTACTGTTTGAAGATAAGCAGCACTTAAATGGCTGATGGCCCTTCTGAGTTACTTTCCTATGTTTCTTTTTTTCCCTAGGGACAGTACAATATATAACTGAATAATAGGCAAGATGAAATAGAAGTAGATGGACTTCTTAGATTGTCTAGCCTCAGCAGTTCATTTTGCTTTTGAATATGTTTGAGATTAAGAAAGTTAGAGCTATTATCAGTATTTGCTACATGATTGCATTAAGAAAAAGCATTGCACTGGGAATATGGGTCAAAGAGATACATATGTTTTGGAAATTTAAAAAATCCTGTTCCTTTCAATTCAGTAATATATAGGCGATTCCAAGTTTAGAGGTTTATGAAATAAATCAGTTGAAAATGCGAATTTAAAAGAGGACCTGATAGTGAAGTTAAATGAAGTCCTTTGTTTGAAAAGCATGTTAAAGAAATGACCAAGTCCAAATTAGATGTTGCAACTGAACAATTTCCCAGTTCTTGCTTGATTGCTGGTTTCTGGAACATGAGAATCTTAGTATAAATAGGTTGAGGCTTTTATATGCAAATCAACAGGAGATCATCATAACAGTTTTCTTCATCCCCTATATCAGCTTGAAATACGAAGTTAATTTTCTGCCCAGACATGTTGTAGACATTAGTACAGCGTTTTGAAAGTGTAAAGTATAATTACTGTGATTCACAGTAGTTGTGATTGAAAGGTATAACTTAAGTTTTCCATAGTTTAGCTCTTTTGATCCAGTAATTTAGTGAGAGGAATGTTTAAAACTTATCAACAAGTTTTTAATGTCAAATCTTGGCAAAATGATGATGCCATTTTGTTCTGCCTTTGGAGCAGCAGCCCAGCCTTAAAATGGAGAATTTGTGATTTTTCCTCTGGACAAAGTGCAGTGATGAGAGAGCACTTTGTCTTCAGGGGAGAAGCAGAATTCTGTACGTATAGCCATTGTGTATGCAGCCAATCTGGAAAAGTTTGAGGCAAAGCAAAAAGTGTTTAGTCTGTGGGCTGTTTGCAGGAGCGATGCTCAATGGTGATGTGATCAGTTTGGCCACTGAATGATGTGCTGCAAGAAGCTGCAATAAGATGTATTTGACAGAGTAAGAAGAGAAAAAAGCAGAACACTAATGAAGTGTGCAGATGCACTCCTAAAAGAAGGTCTTATGATGGAGAAAAAAAGAAACAAGCCAGTGAAGCCTTCTTTATTCAGACTGTCTGCTTTCACATTTAAGGAGCAGAGATCTATCTAGAAATAGTATATGGTAATGGTATATCTTAGGTTTTAATTTGGGCTACTTTATTAGTATCTTTTTAGTTCAATTGGATGTATCAAAATGGGAGTCTATTATGATTAACAAAGGACAACCCTTTTACCTAGTGAGTGCCCCATTTTTTGGCTGCAAAAGCGAAGTAAACCCTTCTGTGAAATTAATGACATGTTTTTGTTTGGTTTGGTTTGTTCACTATAAAACTTGATATGAACATGCTCCAAAGTCATAACACAGTTTTGCTGCAAAAGATGTAGCTGGAAATTTACATACTCTATTTTATTCTTTTGAAGTCGTGTATGTCTTGTAGGTTGGGGCCAGAGGGGAAAGCAGTTGGATGTTTGGGTTTTTTTCCCGTCCCTCTAATCTTTATTTAAAATACTATCCTGGAGTCTGGAAACCTCCATCAGACACAGAACCTACCCATTGTCATATTGCTCCATAAATAAATCAAAAAGGCACATAAGTTACTAAGTTTACTGCTTTGGAAAGTGGTCTTCCACACTGAATAAAACCGGTGTAATTAAACTGAATCTATATTCTAATATTGGCTTCAGAAGAAGTTTGTTCATCTCAATCTAAGACAAAGATGGAGAGAATATTGTCTTGTAATTTGGGGATTTTCAGTGCTGCCATTCAAACACCTTACTCTAAAAATCATAATGCTAACTTAAGTGTTACAGAATCCTAAGAAAGAGCTGAAGGAAGTGTTTTATTAGAAACATCTTCATGATTTGGGAATAATGATGCTCAGCTGGGAGCAGTAGAACAGTGTGGGGATCTCTGTGTCACAGCATGTTAGTGCTCCCAAAATGTCTTACTGATTTGTCTTGGACATGAGCTTAGAAATCACAGTGTGTAAGGATCTGGGTGTGCTTAATTTCCCTTCCATCTCCTTGCCTGACTTCCATTTCTATTGCTTTATCTTGGGGGATAAATATGATTGTAATTATGGTGTGCAGCCTGTAAATCCCCATACGTATCTATCTGAAATACTTGCAGTTTTAGCCTACAAGTGTCTTCATTCATACCCCATTATTTCTTGAAAACAATGTTACCAGGTTTGGTGGTGATTTCTAGGGAAAAAATTCATCTCTCTATTAGGAACAATGCCATTTCTGCTTCATTGTACACAGAACAGTGAGGTCACAAGGTGTCTGGACTACACTTCAACTGGGAATGGAAATTCAAAGTACCACGTTCTCCCCTGGGAGGATTCATGTTTCTTTAGGCTCGTATGGAGTTTGGGAAGCCTTAATAGTTCATTTGTTCATCCAAAACTGTGATAATATTTAATAATTCCTGACGGCTGCTTGGCACAATTTCAATGCATGTGCCTAAATCTTGATGAGTGCTAATTAAATCTGGCCAACAGTCCTCCCATTAATTGACACACCACACTCACCAGTAGATGGCCTTGGTCACAAAGCTATTGTGGCTGGGAAGTGGCCGGCCTTAATGAGAGTGTTAAGCAGGGTAGGGAATAAAATGGTAGAGGCAGTAAGGCCTCTTTAAATCATTTAGACTTGTCTTACTAAAAAGTCTTGATATTCTTACTGGCCTTCATCCTGAGTCAGCGACAGTGTCTTGCGTTCTCTTTGCAGTTCGTGCCCATTTTAAAGTGGCAATTTATCAGTGTTCTTAATATAGGAAAGATGAGTTGTATATATGAATTTACACAGGCATCTCAGTGCCTGACAGTGGCAAAGCCTATTTTTATATTCACATTTTTAAAGTTTGTTTATCATGTTGATTGTGGTTCCTTTCCCTCCTGTCCCAGCATTGTCTGATAACTTCAGGGGCACATTCAACTTTCTCCAGTTTTTAAGGCGTGTTCAAACTTGACCTTACCCTCACTTCAGGCTATGTTTAGTTTTGTTTATGTTTTATTTTGAGGTCCTATGGCAGGAAAGCTGTTAAGTACTAAGTCATTTTGTTTGTCACAGCAGGGGTCATACCTCATTCAAAACTTCACAGCTCCTGTGCTTCTCTTTTTAGTAATGTGATTAAACTTGATTTCTGACCTATGTGCCCCATTGGCTGCAGGTGGGGCCTTTGAGATTCCTGGTTGGCTGTAGGCACATGATGGCTCACAGCTCATAAGAAATGGGATACAAGTGTGTGTAGTGAGAAGTGTGTAGTTTCATTCCTTCCTCGTATGTGGGTGTCATAGTTGATTGCCTACACAGCTGTGCTTTTGTTCTTCCAAGGGAAAGGCAGATTGCACAGTGTTGCACAGTGAGTACTGACCACAGTAAGCCATAGGAGTTCCCCTCCTTGTCTTTTACCTTCTATTTCCATTGCTGATGTGCTAGTCTTTTGGCTTTTTCTAGTCCGGACAAATAGGATGGAGGCTGAGTAAATCACAATGTAAATCTATGCCACTGTTGAAAATACCTCCTTAATCACAATGCTGTCTCTTACCTGTATTTTGTCTGATTTCAGTGATGTGTGCTTTTCCTAATAAAAGGTTCTCCTATTGAAGTTGATGGGGAAACTGTCATGCATTTAAATGGAAGCAGACTGCAACTTTTTTTCTGCCTTTGAAATTACTTCATAAGAGTAACTTCAATAGAGGGAACAATAGAGGGAAGGTAAAATTAGACATGCTGTAATTTCTTATGTGCCATTTCATCCCTCTTCTGCTGTCACAGATCAAGGCTTTTGATAGTGAGCTTGGTACTGTAGTGCCAAGGGAGGCACTGTGAGGGAAAAGAATAGGACAGCAAAGCTAAGTGTAGAGGACATGGCATTTCACCAAGGATGCAGCCCTTTGCCTTAAGGACACAGGGTATTTGGAAACAAGTGGCGACTTGAATGTTCCTCTAAATTGTATTTTACAGTTGACAGTAATCTTTTACATAAAAAGCTCTACTTTTACTCAGATTTGCATATGGGGAAGAAATCTGAGTTTCCAAGATGAGAGCTGAAGTTCCACCTGAAGTTTGCAGAGATTTCATAGTCTGATTGAGGAGGCATGGGAGAGGCTGCCCAGGTAGAGTTGTGGTAAATCAGAGCAACTACAGGCTGTTTCTGCCTTCTGCAGCTGGCAGATCCCTAGAAATTGGGAATGAAAAAAAGGGAGAGAAGGGGTGGGGGAAATGCCTTGATAATCCTCTCTTCTGAACTTTCTGGAACCACTTGGCAAGGGCAGAAACCGCGATTTAAGTTCCAGCTGCCAGGTGTGGAAGTTTTGATGGTTATGTAGATACCTTGTTACCATCTCTGGGTCTGTCAGGATGTTGGTTTCTGTGCTTGCTCATGGTGTTACGTTGCTTGCGGACTTTCATACTGTTTATCTGCAGTACAACCAGACAAGGTTATTACACATGTGTGTTTTGTTTCAGAAACTGAGAAGTGATGAATGTAAACAATGCTTTGAGTGATATTTTTCACATGCTTTCAGAGGGAACAGGATTGAGGGACTGCAGTATAAAGCGACAAGGAAGTTAGTGAAAATGGTTTTTTTGTAGTCCATAACAAATATCATGCAAGGCATTAACCATTAAACAGGTGAACATCTAAACACTGCTGGTGTGATTGGGGTGGAAATTAAGTCACGAAGAGGTCTAGCTTGGATTGGCAGCTGCCTAAAATCTCTCGTATCTGTGTGTTCAAACTACTTGTGGTTAACTAAAATGAGTTTAGTCAGGTACTTTGTCTTTTTTGATTATCAGTGGCCCTCATGCTCAGCTCCCTATAGCAGAACCTTCTGAGGTGTTAGCCTGTTTCCTACAATTTTGTCATTAGTGTCATTAAGTCACTTTTTTTTCT